GGCAGTTGAGGGAAACTGCCAGGGGAGGTAGGGGCACACCTCATCAGCAAAGGTACCTGCATAATGAGCATTTATATACATAACCCTGAATTGAACCCCACATCTTTAAAGCAAAATTTTTAAAAAAGAAATCTTTGCCTAACCCCAAATCATAAAGAATGTCTCCTAAATTTGCTTGCAGAATTTTTATTTATTTTTATTTTTTGAGTCGGGGTATCGCTCATGGCCACCGCAGCCTTAACCTGCTGGGCTCAGGCAATCCTTCTGCCTCAGCCTTCCTAATAGCTGGAACTACAGGTGCAAGCCACCACACCCAGCTAATTTTTTGGTTTATTGTAGAGACAGGGTCTTGCCAAGTTGCCCAGGCTGGTCTTGAACACCTGGTCTCAGGTAATCCTCTTACCTTGGCCTCTCAAAGCGCTGAGATTACAGGCTTCAGCCACCGTGCCCACCCACTTCTAGAAATTTTAGAGTTTTGGCTCTTACATTTAGATCTTTGATCCACTTTGAGTTCATTTTTTATGTATAGTGTGAGGTAAAGATCTAAGGTTTGTTTTGGTGGTGGTGTTCTTTGCATTCTGATATATAACTATCCGTGAGTCATTTGTTGAAAAGACTAAACTTTCCCTACTAAATTGCCTTTACATCTTTGTCAATAATTCTGTTAGCATAAATATAAGGGCTTCTGGATTCTTAATTGTGTTCCATTATCTATGTATCTGTTTTATACCAATACCAACTGTCTTGATTATTGTAGTTTATATAAATTTTTGCAATGTGGCAGTGTAAGTCACCGTACTTTGTCCTTTCTAAAAATGTGCTGCTCCGGGTCCTTTGCATTTTCATCTCATGAGCCACTTATTACTACAAAAATTGATGAGTTTTCAAACTGTTTTGAGCAGTGAAAAAAGGCGTCTCGATGGGTGTATTGCATCAAACAGAATACTTTGAAAGTGACTGAAATTGCTAAGCATGGTGGCTCAAGCCTGTAATTCCAGCACTTTGGGAGGCTGAGGTGAGAGGATTGCCTGAGCCCGCAGGTTCAAGACCAGCCTGGGCAATTTGGCGAGACCTCACCTCTACAATAAATCAAAAAGTTAGCCAGGCGTGGTAGCACACACCTGTGTGTGTACCAGCTACTTGGAAGGCTGAGGTAGAAGGCTTGCCTGAGCCCAACAGGTCGATGCTGGGGTGGCCATGAGCATGCCACTGAACTCCAGCATGGGCGACAGAGTGAAACTACAACTCAAAACAAACAAACAAACAAGTGACTGAAGTTTAAACATGTAAGAATAAATACACAAGTTTTTATAAATAAAATCTGAGTTTCTTTGGGTTCCCGCCTTGTAAAATAGAATAGCTGCTTTGAAGGCCACCTACTAAATTCAGCCTCCAGAGACATGTAGAAATACTTTCTATTTAACTGCTTTTTTTCCCTCAGTATGAGTCATTATTTCCTGTTCTGTGTTTCTTGTAATTTTTTGTTAAAAACTGGACATTTCAGCTAACATATTGTAGTGTATTTCTGAACCTTCTGAAGGTTTTCTTGATTTTGTTTTAGTAGCTTGCCTAGATTAAATTTGAGAAATCTTTCTCCCCTATGGTACATGATAATCTTGTTTTTTTTCTTTGAAAGGCTTCCTGTGTCTTATGTGTCACATGACTTAGTGGCAGTCAGACTAAAGTTATGCTAAAACTTTTGCAGTAGTAAGGCTTCTATCCTTTCAGTGGATCTGTGTGTGGGTAGGGGAACACATTGCATGTTCAGGTCATTTTCACATCCGCCCTAGCTTTTCCTTTCCATTGTGCCCCTTTGTGTTTTTTCAACATAGGGAGCAGCTTCAGTGCCGCTAGGATTGTGTGGTTCTCTGGTCTCTCTCTGGTCACTGATGAACCTGTGCACAGACCCAGCCACGGAATCTGCTTTCTCTAATGATGAGCACAACTCCAAACTGATAGAATTGTCAGCACTGCCCACCTTCACACCACTGCAATCGCTACTTCTGCTGACATCAGAACAGAAAAGGTACCAGTCCTACTGAGTTGGAGTTGTGGGGGGGTGTGGCTGGGAGCACCTCCAGGGAAGAATGACAAAGACTACAAATGTTCATATCCAAATTTCAGCAGTTTTCCTAAGAATAAAAGCTTCTCAAATTGTCTTCTAGTTTTGATTTTTCAACCATGGAAATGGTTATTTTTGTCAAGTATGTCCAGATATATAGCTTTTTAGAGAGGATTTGCCAAATCTCCCTACTAGTCCAGTCAAAAGTTCTGTCCAAGTCCACACTTTTTGCGACATGCAAAAATTGAGTTGACCTTTGCTACATGGCCCTAATTCATGTTTAGATCACCTAGATTGGCTTCATGTGGGACAGTTTCACTTCTTACCACACAGAGGCCCTCTTTTATGGACACATAAGAACGGCTGACTGCTGGGTGTTGAGGGAGTGAGCACTGAAAGACCTGGGACAATCATTCCAGCCCTGGTTTCACCATCTCTGACAGTTCTTGAATTTGATTAAAACATTTCCCTGCTACCTTGTGTATAGGGAATTATGCCAGCATGTTGTGACATAGGACAAGCCATAAAAGTCACTGCCGCCAGAGTGACTACTCAGTGTATTTGTCTCATGAGTAGAGCATGGGAACTCAGCAGAAGGAAACAGCTGAAAAATACCGACAGGATCTAATGAAAATGTGCATTCGCCATGATCAAGTTGCAGCTGCATATCTGGGTCACTGGCATACACTGGCTTTGCTAGAAGACAGTGCCTTCCCCTTCAGAGCTGAGCTGTGTAGAAGCTCTCTCCATCTCCTGGATGAATTCACAGGCCAGTGAAGAGTGCAGATTAGCTGGAGCACATGTGATCATTTGATGTGAGGGAAAAAAGCACTAAAGTTTCCTTTTAGTGCTTCCAGACTTTTGACTTAAAACTTGCTTTCTCTTACCTTCCATTTTAATCCTCACAGTCTTTTTAGTTATTTTTTTTCCTTTGCTGGTGGGCAATGGTGTAACCATAGCTCTCTGTAGCCTTGATCTCCTGGGCTCAAACAATCCTCCCACTTCAGTCTCCCAAGTAGCTAGGACTACAGTGTGCGCCACCATGCCCAGCTAATTTTTTTTTTTAAATTTTGTAGAGATGAGGTCTTACCCAGGCTGGTCTCAAACTCCTGACTTCAAGATATCCTCCTGCCTCAGCTTCCCAAAGTGCTGGGAATGCAGGCATGCACCACCATGCCTGGCCATTATTTTTATTTCCAAAAGAGAAAACTGAGGCTCAAATGAGGCTGAGGAGTTTGGATAAGCCTATATTGTAGAGAAACCTGAATGCTAAGGTGCTAAGGAAATTGGTTTTACTTAATACAAAAAGAAATAATCACAGGGTGTGATTAGAGAAGTAGTAGGGTCAGATTTGTATTTTAGAAAGACTTTGTAAAGTGTAGGCAAGAAGGCTGAGAATAAAACCTTTAGTAAATGCCTGTATTTGGAAATACATAGGAAAAAAATAGAGAGGAAAGTCAGAAAATTATGGGACAAGAAAACATCAAGGAGAGTGTGTGGCAGACACCACTGGTTATCCCCTCATTTCTGTTCCCCCATTGGATCTAGAGCCTCCCAGAATAAAAACATTTCCCAGCATCCTTTAAAGTGTGACCATGTGATGATTAAGTTCTGACCATTGGGATGTGAGAACTTTCATGTGCGACTTCAAGTAGGTATTCTGAAAAGGATCGGGTACACTCTACTTCTCCCCTTCTTTATTCCTGCTAACTAGAATGTGAATGTGATGGCAGAAATTATACCTGCTATCTTGAATGATCTGAAGAGTGGAATTCATTCATGGCAAAGCAACAAGACTGAAGGAAGCTAGCTAGGTGCCCAACACCGTGGATTGCTTATCAGCTCTAGTCTCGCCACCTTTGGGGGTGTTTTTCCATTTGACAGTGTCATGTGTCCCTCCAAAATCTATGTTGAAGTCTTCTATAAATATGAATATTTGTGTTCCCTCAAAACTCATATATTGAAACCTAATTTCCAAGGTGAGTTTATTTGGAGGTAGGGATTAGCCTTAGGGGTGGGGATTAGGTTATGAGGGCAGAGCCTTCATGAATGGAATTAGTGCCCTTATAAAAGAGGCCCCAGAGAGATCCTTTGCCCCTTCTGCTATGTGAGGTCACAGTAACAAGGCCATCTACGAACTAGCAAGCTGGCCCTCGCCAGACACCGAACCTGCTGCCACCATCATCTTGGACTTCCCAGGCTACAGAACAGTGAGAAATACATTTATTTTGTTTATAAGCCACACAGTTAATGGCATTTTGTTTCAGCAGCCCAGACAAAGACCTAGTCCTAACCCCCAGCTCCTCAGAATGTGCCGTTATTTGGCAATAATATGTAATGAGGTAAGAAGTCCTCCTAGAATAGGGTGGGCCCCTAGTCCAATACAATTGGTGTCCATGGGAAGACAACATGCTAGAACATCCGCAACAATGAGGGCAGAGACTGGTTATGCAGCTGCAAGCCAAGGGAGCCCAAGATCCCCAGCAACCACCAGGACTCCCCACAGGCTTCAGTGGGAGCGCGAGCACAGTACCAGCTTCAGACTTCCAGCCTCCAAACTGTGAGACAACAGGTTGTTGTTTTAGGCCACTTTGTGGTATTTTAACAGTTCCAGAGAAATACAGAAAAAAACATGTTTTGTTTGAACCACTGCTACTTTGGATTTTTCCATTTCTTACAGCTGATCCTAATCCTAACACATGAAAGGGTATTGGTCAGATTTTATCAAATGCAGCAGCCTTTTTTTCTGCCTCAGAAAATATTAGCAGGTGATTGGTATTCTTAGCACAATTTTGGTGGTTTCATAAGCAGGAGAGGTCATGAAATGAACAAAGTGATGAAATGGAAGTCACCACTGTTAAAATGGTTTTAAAAGTCTCAGATGAGAAGATGATTTGAGAAATAACAATAGCACCTAAGCTTATAGCATACTTATTGTATCCATTCTGCAGAGCTCATGAAATCCTCACCTAAATTTCTGACATTGATTTTTCATATTTTTACCATTTAAGAATATAAAAACTGGTCAGGTACAGTGGCTCAGCCTGTAATCCCAACACTTTGGGAGTGGACTGCCTGAGCCCGGGGTTCAACACCAGCCTAGGCAACTTGGTGATACATCTCTACAATAAATCACAAAAACTAGCTAGGTGTGGTGGCGTGAGTCTGTAGTTCCAGTTACTTGGAAGGATGAGCAGGTTGAGGCTGCAGTGGTCATAAGCATGCCACTGTACTCCAGCCTGGGTGACAAGAGTGAGGCTCCAACTCAAAAAAAAAAGAATATAAATACCGAGGCCCAGAGATAAATGACTTGCCCAAGATGCTATAGGTGCCAACAATCTAGAAACTGACCCTGAGTCCCCAGCCCATACTTGTTTCACTCTACCACTCAAGGCTGCCAGAAGTAAGGCAGGAGCGAGAGGGTTGCTGGGGAAGTCTTAACCGTGCTGAGGCCCATGGGGATGAAGCTAGGAGAGAGAGGATACAAGGAAATGCTCAGGAAACTGCTGTGCCAGAGTCTTCATATGCAGCTCTTCCAATACACACATGCTTGATAGATACCTTATGAGGTCAGGGGAGCAGAGAGGAGAAGCTGTTTATCAAGTAACTCATACTGGCAATGGCATTATCTCCAGGCTATCTAGAACACTACTGTATCTCCTTGAACATGCCTAGAGTCTCTGAAAAGACAGATGAGGAAGGTAATTGGGAGGGTGGGAAGAATTTTCACCTTTCATTATTTTGCATCACATGAATGTCTTTATCTGTTTAAAAAAATCAACACCAAGCATTAAAAATAGTTTTATTTCCAGCTTCGAAACTTTAGAAAACTCAGTTAAAATTTAAAAAATCTTCTCTGTAATTCTATGACCCAACGATTGCGTGTTATATGCACACACAAAAATCTGGGTGGGTTGTTTGGTTTTAAAACTGGAGTTAAGCTGGATGTGATGGCTCTCGCCTGTAATCCCACCATCTTGGGAGGCTGAGGCAGGGTAATCGCTTGAGGCTAGGAATTTGAGACCAGCCTGGGCAACATAGTGAGACATTGTTTCTACAAAAAAATTTCAAAAATTAGCCAGTCATGGTGGAGTGTACCTGTAGTCCCAGCTAATCAGGAGGATGAGGTGGGAGGATCCCTTGAGCCCATGAGTTCAAGGTTACAGTGAGCTATGATCACACTACTACATTCCAGTTTGGGTGACACAAGACCCTGTCTCAAAAAAAAAAAGAGTCATGATAAATACAAAAGCATAATCTTTTTCCATTTAGTAAAAGCTATCTTTTTTCATTTAAACTATAGCTACTTTCTTCCTACTACTACTATCTACTTAATAGATTGCCATATCTTGTGATAGACTGCTAATTTCCCACTATATCCAGTCTCCCCTTGTTAGTAATCAAACCCAAATTTTATGTGGCATGTCATTGTGTGCAAACACCTTATAACTGTCTCAAGCTTCTCTGCACCTCAGTGTGGCCATGTAGAAGGTCAAGATGTGAATGCAAACATCATGTGAGACTCCTAGGAAATCTTAAAAAGAATGTTGGCATTTTCCCTTTACTCCTTTCTCCCTGTGACTTATAACACAGATGAGACATCTGGGCTAAAGCCATCATCTCCTGACAGAACACTGAGGAGTATGTCCTTGGGTAGTGATTTAAGGGCTGGGTCCCTAATGACTGATTTTTTAAAATCTTGAGTTTCTAGACTTTGTGATTCTTATACAAGAAATAGCTTGACTACTTATGGCCACAAGAAAATAAACCTTTGTGTTTAGGCTGCTGTGGTATGTTCTTATTTAAAATGGTGCTGGGTGTTTGATTTTATTAAAAATAAATGATGCATTAAAAATAGTTTCTCAGCCTGGGTAGCTCAAGCCTGTTATCCCAGCTGAGGTGAGAGGACTGCCTGAGTCCACGGGTTTGTGACCAGCCTAGGGCAACGTGGTGAGACCTCATCTCTACGATAAATTTTTTTTAAAAAGTAGCCGGGCACGGTGGCACATGCCTGTAGTTCCAGCTACTTGGAAGGCTGAGGCGGAAGGATTGCCAGAGCCCAGCAGGTCGAGGCTGCGGTGGCCGGGAACGGCCACT